GAGGTTTAGTTGTTTGGAATAAATTACAACGTTGTGAATTAAGTGATTTTATAAGGATTTCTATGCAATTGATCTTCAGCTTGCAATTAAGGCTCCGACCGGCAGCCGGTCTGGGAACCAACAATGGCACGTTACTGGGAAACGATTCTGTAGTAAATATGTTCAGCAGGTCCGCACCCGTCTGAGACTGAGGCCTTAGTTTGAATTAGAGAACACATATTTTCTTCTTTTATTCTAAATGCGCTAACTGCCTCTGTGAGCGCTGTGTGATCCAAACAACAACATTTGTATTTATTTGTTACCGGGTATTTGTTTCCGAGAGAGAGACGTTCCTCCGGAGACAAAGTCCCTAAGCTAGGGTATCATGAGGGCCTAGAATCCAAACCTAATCTCTCCTACCTTCTATTTAGGGCATAGACAGGTGGGCAAACACCCCCTCTGTACCCTGTATTTATTGGCGCCACATGCCAACTGCCACGACAATTTCATCAAAATATACGAGACCCAAGAAGGCTAGAAATGGGCTGTAGTGAGGAGGGATTATATCAAAATTAATTTATATGCAATAGTGTGTGTTATGCGATGGATGGTGATATGCAGCGGATATTTTTGTCATTTTGTGGTAAATGTGAAGTCCGAGCAGCTGTATTTGAGTTGTTTATTACCATATTTTTTGTGATCTATTAGATGGCAATGTCCATTTCCCTATATTTCTGTATGTCACTCTTGGTAACTATTCTGGGGACATTGCCTCCATATCCTCTATTGGGTTACTGTTACCAAGAGCAATACACTGAGATAGAGGAATTAGAGACCACTGTCTTATAGACCAGAAGTAGAAGAAGCAGAAGTACGCGTTTAAATAAAAGAGAATCTTGGAAGTCGACTTTAAAAGGGAATAGAGGAGGATAGGTTTTAAGATGAGCACTGTCCAGAGGTGGAGAAAATAGACATTACCAAATAAAATTTGCATGCAGCGGTTCCATGTCGTAGTTCTATGCTCATATTGCCACATTTGCTAACGCGCCCCATTCCGAGCGCTAGACACGTGCAAAAGAGCCATTTAGTGGGTATGTTTCCATATTTGCAGTAGTTTTGATTTGCACTTAGAAGTATTTTATGCTACTGAGGGTGATCTTAGATAAAGTTGCATTAGTGTGAAAATTTGATTTCCTGATGACTGTGCCTTTTGTAAATGGAGACCTATGTTACATTACTATTATTACAGCCATTGTCATCAGATCTCCCAGGTAGTTTGACACCTAATGTGGATCCACTCTAAGCTCTATCCAGGGGGTCTTTGCTGAAGTACCAAAGGTGTGCGGGTCATACCAGCCACTGTTATGACAAGGAGGATTTGTCTGTTTTGATCTTGCAACATAAGTGTTGTAGGAGGGAAATGTCTTTGAAATTATTGATATGTTACCTTAGGTTATATTGAAATGTGTGTTCAACAGTAGGATTTTACCAAGCTAAGGGTAATCTTTATACTGTTTCTAATTCTCTCAAACTGTATGAAAAATTACTCTTTGTGATAGATGTATTTATGTGGATGGGATTCTGTTGATTACTAAAATAATTTTTGTGAAAGGTAGTTTCAATTCTAGTATGAAATTTATATCTGCTATCATTTTTCATGTTTATGTCTAGGGAAGCCTTTTAGTGTATAGTTAATTTATATTTAAAATTTACCTATAAATAGTGTGTAATTCGTAAGTGTATGTTTTTAGTTTGATTTAAATTTATATGCTTGATCAGTTATATAAAATTTCTTAGTGTATGTTCATTGATGCTGATACAGACTTTTACTGTAGGTCTTCATTTTTAAATGTTGAAATGCCGAGGAATCTTATGAGGGTCAGGAAAAAACTTCATTTTACAAGTTTCGATAATGAAATCAATTTGATATCCTTTCTAGAGATTTATGTTGGAATAGAATTTACAAGAAAATAATGTATTTCTTCACATGAACAAAAGAAACAAATTAATAAACCCCATTTGCAGATGGAGCAATGGAATCGTCCGATAACTCGGACTCAGAGAGTAGCTCCGGCACCAGTAGTTCGAGCAGCAGCCGTGCCAGTAGTCGTGCTGACAGCAGGTCTCCCGTCAGTGCCCCACGTAAGCCTATTTCATGTAGTATTTTTTTTAGAAAATGTTATTGGTCATATTGTAGTTTTCTATGCATTATCTTATTGGTGGAAAAAAATTATAGTGACTCTCGAATGCAAAGGTGAAGTAAATTAAGTAATGTATGTAATGCATACAAGACTATTGAATATTATAAAATTAATGGTAATACTAAGCATTTTTCTTAAACTAAAATGAGAATCTTAGTGAAGTTTTTTTCCATTTTTCTTCCTGGGCTTTCAGGGAGTCGAAGTCCCTCGCCCGCTGGGAGCAATAAGAGTGGGTCAGTAGGTGGGATACGCAGTCCAGCAGGAAGCAGAGGAAGTGCCTCACCTGCCAGCCCACGAAGCAGAGGCAGCGGGTCACCCCCGCCAAGTCCTCGGAGCAGGAGTGCGTCGCCTCGGAGCAGAGGCAGCCAGTCTCCACAGAGCAGAGGAAGTCGGTCTCCACCGGGATCCCCGCAGAGCAGAGCCAGTAGGTCCCCCCGCAGTCGAGGGAGTGGATCCCCGGCCAGCCCACAGAGCAGGGGTAGTGCTCAGCCCCAGGGCAGTCCACGCAGCAGAAGCCGGTCTCCTACCAGTCAGAGGAGCAGGTCAGGGACTCCAATAAAGAGTAGATCTGTGACACCTCATAGCAGGTCAGTCACGCCTCAGAGAAGCAGGTCTGGCACTCCTCAGAGGAGCAGGTCAGTTACTCCCCAGAGGAGCAGGTCAGTTACTCCCCAGAGGAGCAGGTCAGGGACGCCCCAGAGGAGCAGGTCTGGGTCCCGTGCAAGCAGGGCCTCTGTCAGGTCTCCAACACCAGTGGGTTCTAGAAGGGGCAGCCGGTCACCAGCCCAGTCAGGGGGGAGGGGCAGCAGAAGCCCAGCTAGAAGTGTGACCCCAGTTAGGTCGAGGAGCAGGAGCCGCTCCCCAGTGAGGTCCAGGTCGAGCCGCTCCCCAGCCCGGTCCAAGAGCAGGAGCAGAACCCCTATGTCCAGGGCTGGCAGCAGGTCCTCGAGAAGGTCAAAAAGTGGCAGCCGTTCTCCAGCGAGCAAGGCGGGCAGCGAGAGTGGCAAAAGGAAGTCGGCTTCCAGGTCGAGGTCACGCTCGCCTCGTCTTAGTGACGAAGAGGGGAGGAAAGGTGAGGAGACATTTCAGAAGACCTTTGTGCAGGAGTCTGTTTGCCTGGTTGTGTCTTATAGATTTCCCCTTGTAGTGGCACTTTTTGGTATGCCTCTGAAAATATTGCATTAAGAAAATGCATTGTTTCTGAAAATACAACATAAATGTGACAAAGCAAGTATTACATCAATAAGTTATGGCAATAAATATGTTTATAATCATATTGTTAGCCATTTATAATCATATTGCTTTGACTCTGACTTACCAATATATTTCTCTGTTTCTTTTAGATACTGCTGCAAAAGGCTCAGATGAAGATAGTGATGTTGAAATTGGAAGGTGAGTGCAAAGAACAAAAAAGTTTTAACACAAATTCAGCTGAATGATTTTACAGCACAGTTGATAATTAGGGGAAGTTCGTATTTGAAATAGATTTTCATGGGAATTATTATTATGTGGTTATGACAGATGTTGGCAGATTTTCCCCTTTTTTCTTTCCGTCACTAGCTAGAGTTTCCTTCTATTAATCTCACTCTTCCATGATTATTATTTGGTCATTTGTCTCCCACAGGAAGAGGAAGCGCGCCCTTATGAGCGATGATGAGTCTGGAGATGAGGCCAAGAAGAGGAAGTCAGATGATGATGAAGACCGTAAGGAAATTCTCACTTTTTCTTCAAAAAACTATATTTAGGATGATTGGGGACGAAGGCTTGCATCTTTTTTTTCTGTTTTGATATTTTTTGGGAAGGAAAACTATTGTGTTGTAGATTTGGATTCTTTTAATTCACTTGATAGGGAAGAAACTCTTAAATTCAAAATGATAGTTTGGTTCATGATGCTGGCTCAAAATTTTAAAATTGGATATGTTAAAATAAAATCCAAACCTATTGAAATTATAATTTGAAAGGGGTATGAAGAACTTTGATATACAAAAAAGCTATTCTAGAGATTCTGGCCATGATGCACTAAGCCTGTGTAACATGTGGCAAGTGTTCTACATGGTCAAGCCTCTATATTGTGGACTAAATAGTTGCTTGTTTGTGCAGCCCTATCTGGAATTGCTCCATAATAGGCTTATAATATCATTCTAGTCTATTTCATTGATAAGTATGCTGTAGCCAGAATCATAGGCAACAGTGGAAACATGTGTTTCCTCTGCTTCAAATTTACCTTAGCAGCTTATTCCATGGGGCATTTGGTGCATTGCTCGGTTTGGCAGAGCTAAAAACCATTATTGTGAAGTTGAAGATAAATGAAATAGGTGACTTCAGGGACATGACTATCGTGCTTATATCTGTAAGTGGCAGATGTTCAAATCTGTAACTGAGATTTTCCTCTCACTCATGCTTTCTCACCTTGCAGTGGGTGCCGAGGACTTGTTTGGAGATGCAGATGACATTAGTGAAGATGAGGAGGAACGCAAGAAGGACGAAGACAGGCGTTCACGCTCCCGTTCTCGATCCCGCTCCAGGTCAAGGTCACGCTCAAGATCGAGGTCCAGGTCACGCTCCAGGACTCCAGGCTCACCAAGGCTTATTGTACCAGATGTAAGGGCTCTTGTCTTGGAAGTGGTGGTGGTTATTCTTTTTATTTTCATTAGTGCCTCTGCTGAGGAGACAACTTTTGCCTGGTTATTCTTTAGCCACATTACCCAGATATGTAAGATGGAAATTTTTGTTAAGTGGCATTGCAAAGAGGAACCTAGGGATTTTGCTAATTTAGTATCATGTTTTGTAAAATGCAAGAGTAAATGAGCCTAAATAAAATAAAATAAAACATTTCTACCTTACCCAGGATGAGGAGAAGGAAGATGAAGGGCCTCCACCAGAGACGAGAATTGAGGCCGAGATCCCCAAAATCAACACCAACCTCGGGCGTGACATCCATTTTGTCAAGCTGCCCAACTTCTTGTCGGTGGAGACCAGGCCTTTCGACCCAGATCTCTACGAGGATGAGATAGACGACGAGGAGACGCTTGATGAGGAGGGCAGGGCAAGGTGGGGCTCAGTTTGAAGACTTGCATCTGGATTGTTGTATAAATTTAGTTTTTCTTTCTTTCCTTTTTCTTTCTTTTTAACTCTTATCAGGCTTTGTGATCACCTGTAGTTAGACATGTCTGTATGTATTTTTGTCTTTCTTTGTGTTTCTCTTTATGTATATGTGATGTACATCTATAGATTGGTCTGTCTCGGATGCTTTTTCAGTCTACTTTTGCTTAATTTTTCTTAATTATTATAATTTTTTAATTTGCATTTACCTTCCTTGTCCATGTTGGCTTTCGTCTAATTTAATTTTCTCTTAGTGCTTGTTATTTTATATTTTGTTCTTTACCTTTTCCTTCATTCTTTACATAAAAGGAAAAGGAACATTGATAATTTATATTTGTCATAGAGATTTGTAGTAAAATCTTATTTTTGTTGTGCTTACATTATGCACGTATGATATATATTTATGATGTTCATTTTCTGCACTTTACGAAATGTATTGAGTAATTTTAATTTTGTAAAACACCCAATGAGTCAAGGGTATTGAAACTTCTGAAATTTTGTAGTTTATGATATGTATTTTTCCTATGCTCTTTCCTTAGACTTTGTTTTCACTTTGTCACTCTTATTCTGTATTTCTATACTTTTATTTCTCTTAATTATTTAAGACCTTGTACTTCATTTCTCCTCTCTTTCTTCCTCTCCCCCAGGCTCAAACTCAAGGTGGAGAACACTATCCGATGGAGAACGGTCTTTGACAAGGAGGGCAATGCAGTCAAGGAAAGCAACGCCAAACTTGTCAGGTGGTCAGATGGCTCCATGTCCCTTCATCTCGGAGCTGAGGTCTTCGATGTGTACAAGCAGCCTTTGCAGGTGAGGGCATTGGAGCCTGTCATTGAGGACAAGGAATTAGTTTTGTCATTTTGTCATTTTGTAACGTGTGTAAAGTTTTTGGTTTCTATCTTTGTCTTGAAACATATCTTAAGTCATCTTCGTTCCCATAAAGAGGATCGTTGATATTTTCTGATCATCAGTATGCTTTATTTTATTGGTTTGTTATATTACTGTCATTTTTATGTCTTCTTGAGTCCAATGGTGATCAGGGTAACTGCTATTTATCAGATTGAATTAACGGCACATTGCCAGACTTTCCCAATTATTGTCTCCTATTATCATTCTTAGAATTGGCCTTATATTAGCATACCTTTAATACCTTCTCTGCCATGATGTTGATAATTTATTATATACCTAACCCAATGTATTATTATTTGTTGTGCATGTATTTTTTAATTGCATCATCATGATGTATTTTTCATTTCTCGACAATTTTCTCACACATTTATCTTCTCTCTTTCAGGGCGACCACAACCACTTGTTCATCCGTCAGGGCACCGGTCTGCAGGGCCAGGCTGTGTTCCGTACGAAGCTGACCTTCCGACCGCACTCCACCGAGTCCTTCACTCATCGTAAGCTCACACTGTCCCTGGCTGACCGGACGCAGAAGACTGTGGGCGTCAAAGTGCTGTCGACTGTATTCCGTGACCCCGAGAGCAGTCACATCGAGAGCATAAGGGTAAGTTGTAATTCCTTTGTTTATGTTATTTTGTTTAATTTTTTGTGAGTATTTTTTATTATTATTATTATTATTATTATTATTATTTTTTTTTTTTTTTTTGTCTGAATGTGTGCTAGGATTTGTTTTACTATAACCTTATATGTTTAATGGCATATAACATAGGTGTATGTTATATGAGTTTTAGTTTTTGTTTTTATTTTTTTGTTCTCTGATTTATTTTTAACAACTTTCAACTTGAGTGGGTACGAAGATGCCTTTGGACCAGTTTTGCGAGAAGAGGCTATTCAGTTATGTTTGTTTGTCTTAGTTAGAAAGGTGTGGGGGCTAGATACTCAAACCAGTTTACAATGTTGCATCTTGCATTGGAGCCATTAATCTCATAAGGTCTTGGAAGGCAATACTCAAAAGAAAATTAGTTGCCATGTTATGATGTCATACATTGTAAAGTCCCTTGTAAGATACATGGGGATCATATACGAGTTTCAAACCGCATACAGTTTATTTCCCGATTAGTTAATTGACAGAAACCTTTATTTGACTTGAACATGCCTTTTCCACATTTAATACTCGGGAATTTTAAATGTCTCGTATATTCTTTGTTTGCCATGCTTTATTGTTATCTTGAATCAAATGTAAGTTGAATGTAAATTTACTTGACATATGACAAACAACAATGTTTTTGTGGCTGCTTATCTTCATAGCTGAGCATTGGAGCATGAAAAACATTATTATAGGGAAGCCTTAGTTTCTCTATGTGAAGAGGATAAGCATTTATTGTGATATCACAGATTTCCTAGATTTGTTTTACTATAACCTTATTTGATGCCAAATATCCAACTGAAATATCCTTTCAAGAATTATTATTGATTAGTAACTCTTCTGTATGTATGTTTAGATTGATTTCCTTTTATGCGATTTTTTTTTTTTATACTTCTGAAAAAAATGTATATAACAATAAGTCAAATGTGACACTTCATAAGCTCAATGATGAAAATAATAGGAAATAATGTATATTGAAATTTTATTTTTTGCCTAAAGTAATTGCTTGTTTGTATTATCATTTTCTTTTTATATGTAGATCATGTACTGTGGAAAGGAGAGTTACTCAGGAAATTCATCATAGTTCATTTATTGTACAACATCTGGTTGAGTCTTTGGAAATATCACTTGGGGAGACAGTTTCTGGGCTTTCCATTTTTTTTTTTTTTTTTTTTTTTTTTTTTGTGTGTGTGTGTGTGTGTGTCTCTCTTTCTCTCTCTCTCTCTCTCTCTCTCTCTCTCTCTCTCTCTCTCTCTCTCTCTCTCTCTCTCTCTCTCTCTCTCTCTCTCTCTCTCTCTCTCTCTCTCTCTTTTTTATGAATTATATGAATTTTTATATTTTATTTTTATTAGAGCTAGTGGGTTTTTTTATAAAGAATTATAAATGATTTGCTGTTTTTTTTTCACACTTTTGATGCTTTACTGCCTTTAATAACCATTATTATATAATGAACAGAAACAGGTTTTGTTAAAACCTATAAATCCTTTACTATATATGTTTACCAAATTCAGTTTCTTTGGGCTTATATATGCCATGTAAGAACACCAGCTTCACTCCACATATTTTGAGAAAAGAACAGATTGCAGTTTTTCACATATCAACTTGACTTCCACAGAGGGATGAGGACAGACTCAAGGCTTCCATGAGGAGAGAGAACAAGCAGCGTCGAGTGAGGGAGAAGGCTTCGAGCCGTGGCCTGACAGCAAACTACCTGGAGCCAGATGCGTACGAGGATGACGAAGAGGGGGCCATCTCCCTGGCTGCCATCAAGAACAAGTTCAAGAACAAGCAGAATGGTGAGACGGGATTGATATTTTCTTTTGGTTTTGGCTGTTCTAGGGTTGGTCTTCATTCATTCTTTGACATTCTGAATGCTCTTTAGCTTTTCTCCAGCTTTCCCACCATGTGTATGTACTGTAATAGATCTGACATAAAACTAAAGTCATTACCTTTGTTCTGTATATTTAATATTAGTTCTTAGATTTAGCTTTTTCAGCATTAACCCTATCACTAACTCCTCCCCCCCCCTCCCCAGACCGTGCCCCTATCTACTCCTCAGATGAGGAGGAGTCGGACATCGAAACGGACAAAGCCAAGCGCCTCGAACGTGCCAAGCATACCATCAGAGACTCAGACGAGGAGTCGGGCAGTGGAAGCGAAAGTGGCAGCGAGAGTGGAAGTGACAGAGCCCGCAGCAGGCAGAGCACCCGCAAGAGCTCCAGCCGCAGCAGGAGCAGGAGCAGGAGCAGGAGCAAGAGCGGGAGCCGGAGTGGGAGCGGCAGCAGGAGTAGGAGCCGCAGCAGGAGTGGGAGCAGGAGCAAGAGCAGGAGCAAGAGTCGTAGTAAGAGCAGGAGTAAGAGCAGGAGCAAGAGCAGAAGCAGGAGCAAGAGCAAGAGCAGAAGCAGGAGCAGAAGCAGGAGCAGCAGCAGGGGCAGCAGGAGTGGGAGTGAAAGCGCCAGGTCTTCAGGCAAATCAGGCTCTGGCTCGGATAGCGATTAGGAACCGAGTAGAAGGGTTATTTTCTGCTTATCATAGGGTCTTTCCTTATAACTTAATTGAACTGAAAAATACATTTCTTTTCCATTTTTTTTATTAATTTATATTGATATCCCTGGGATAAAAGTATGATTTTGAATAAAAGATTTGCATCACATTTTTTTTTTCTTTATTAAAAGCTAAAAATGCTGTAAATACTAGATCAGTCAGTGATAGTAATTAGTACTTATTGCTATTATACATATATATATTTTCTTGTTTATGATATCCCACAACCTTCCCTTGATGTTAGGAATACAATTGTCGATATCTTAAAAATATTTTTGATAACGCTCTTGTAGATAGTTAATAGCAGTGACGGAGTGAAACATACGAGTTTGGTCCTTGTCCGATTGTAAATTATAGGTGTTTGTGTTCGCTAGAATGTGAAAATATTTAATGGAATTGATCTATACTTATCTAGTTAAAAAAGGCCTGTCCCTCAGGGATTGGCTGTGTTGTGCACAATTTCCTAGTTCAGTCAGAATGAAGCCTGTATATAGGAAGTAATGCAGTACTATCGTGATATTCATTTTTTTTTTTTTCCTCTACAGTGAAGAACAGTAACATCTGGTGGTGAGGAAAGTCTCAGTGTCTGTACATATTTACTGTATATATGGAAGCACCTTTATTTTCCAGATGTTTTATTTTGCCATTTATTTTATATTTCTTATTTTCCCCCCCCTCTCTCTCTCTCTCTCTCTCTCTCTCTCTCTCTCTCTCTCTCTCTCTCTCTCTCTCTCTCTCTCTCTCTCTCTCTCTCTCTCTCTCTCTCTCTCTCTCTCTCTCTCTCTCTCTCTCTCTCTCTCTCTCTCTCTCTCTCTCTCTCTCTCTCTCTCTCTCTCTCTCTCTCTCTCTCTCTCTCTCTCTCTCTCTCTCTCTCTCTCTCTCTCTCTCTCTCTCTCTCTCTCTCTCTCTCTCTCTCTCTCTCTCTCTCTCTCTCTCTCTCTCTCTCTCTCTCTCTCTCTCTCTCTCTCTCTCTCTCTCTCTCTCTCTCTCTCTCTCTCTCTCTCTCTCTCTCTCTCTCTCTCTCTCTCTCTCTCTCTCTCTCTCTCTCTCTCTCTCTCTCTCTCTCTCTCTCTCTCTCTCTCTCTCTCTCTCTCTCTCTCTCTCTCTCTCTCTCTCTCTCTCTCTCTCTCTCTCTCTCTCTCTCTCTCTCTCTCTCTCTCTCTCTCTCTCTCTCTCTCTCTCTCTCTCTCTCTCTCTCTCTCTCTCTCTCTCTCTCTCTCTCTCTCTCTCTCTCTCTCTCTCTCTCTCTCTCTCTCTCTCTCTCTCTCTCTCTCTCTCTCTCTCTCTCTCTCTCTCTCTCTCTCTCTCTCTCTCTCTCTCTCTCTCTCTCTCTCTCTCTCTCTCTCTCTCTCTCTCTCTCTCTCTCTCTCTCTCTCTCTCTCTCTCTCTCTCTCTCTCTCTCTCTCTCTCTCTCTCTCTCTCTCTCTCTCTCTCTCTCTCTCTCTCTCTCTCTCTCTCTCTCTCTCTCTCTCTCTCTCTCTCTCTCTCTCTCTCTCTCTCTCTCTCTCTCTCTCTCTCTCTCTCTCTCTCTCTCTCTCTCTCTCTCTCTCTCTCTCTCTCTCTCTCTCTCTCTCTCTCTCTCTCTCTCTCTCTCTCTCTCTCTCTCTCTCTCTCTCTCTCTCTCTCTCTCTCTCTCTCTCTCTCTCTCTCTCTCTCTCTCTCTCTCTCTCTCTCTCTCTCTCTCTCTCTCTCTCTCTCTCTCTCTCTCTCTCTCTCTCTCTCTCTCTCTCTCTCTCTCTCTCTCTCTCTCTCTCTCTCTCTCTCTCTCTCTCTCTCTCTCTCTCTCTCTCTCTCTCTCTCTCTCTCTCTCTCTCTCTCTCTCTCTCTCTCTCTCTCTCTCTCTCTCTCTCTCTCTCTCTCTCTCTCTCTCTCTCTCTCTCTCTCTCTCTCTCTCTCTCTCTCTCTCTCTCTCTCTCTCTCTCTCTCTCTCTCTCTCTCTCTCTCTCTCTCTCTCTCTCTCTCTCTCTCTCTCTCTCTCTCTCTCTCTCTCTCTCTCTCTCTCTCTCTCTCTCTCTCTCTCTCTCTCTCTCTCTCTCTCTCTCTCTCTCTCTCTCTCTCTCTCTCTCTCTCTCTCTCTCTCTCTCTCTCTCTCTCTCTCTCTCTCTCTCTCTCTCTCTCTCTCTCTCTCTCTCTCTCTCTCTCTCTCTCTCTCTCTCTCTCTCTCTCTCTCTCTCTCTCTCTCTCTCTCTCTCTCTCTCTCTCTCTCTCTCTCTCTCTCTCTCTCTCTCTCTCTCTCTCTCTCTCTCTCTCTCTCTCTCTCTCTCTCTCTCTCTCTCTCTCTCTCTCTCTCTCTCTCTCTCTCTCTCTCTCTCTCTCTCTCTCTCTCTCTCTCTCTCTCTCTCTCTCTCTCTCTCTCTCTCTCTCTCTCTCTCTCTCTCTCTCTCTCTCTCTCTCTCTCTCTCTCTCTCTCTCTCTCTCTCTCTCTCTCTCTCTCTCTCTCTCTCTCTCTCTCTCTCTCTCTCTCTCTCTCTCTCTCTCTCTCTCTCTCTCTCTCTCTCTCTCTCTCTCTCTCTCTCTCTCTCTCTCTCTCTCTCTCTCTCTCTCTCTCTCTCTCTCTCTCTCTCTCTCTCTCTCTCTCTCTCTCTCTCTCTCTCTCTCTCTCTCTCTCTCTCTCTCTCTCTCTCTCTCTCTCTCTCTCTCTCTCTCTCTCTCTCTCTCTCTCTCTCTCTCTCTCTCTCTCTCTCTCTCTCTCTCTCTCTCTCTCTCTCTCTCTCTCTCTCTCTCTCTCTCTCTCTCTCTCTCTCTCTCTCTCTCTCTCTCTCTCTCTCCCTCCTCTTTCTTCCTCAGTAAAATTAGTTATGATTCAGTACTTTGAAGGATTAATTCACCTAAGACAAATCGTGCTGTTATTTTTTGTTCGTAAGTATGAAAAAATCACACAGAAGAAACTACTGTATGTAGTAATTTGGTTAATGATCATATTTTTAAGCAGCTATATTTATGGAAAAAGAATTATGGAATTATTAAGTACTATATGCTTTTGATCTTAATGGTCATTGTTTCCATTTACATAACAGCTGTGACAGTAATAAATAAATTGTATTTTTCTTTGAATGTAAAAAAAATAAGTTCATATTGTGTAATATTTAAGTCAAAATATATTAAAAAAATATATACCTGTATTTTCATTAATTTAATCTATTTTTTTTTTTTTTTTTTTGTATCAATGTAATGTATTTTGAAATAGAAACAATTCAAAGAAAAAAAAAAAAAGGGAGAGAAAAAAGAAAAAAAAAAAGAAAGGCATCGTTCTGTGAAATTTTTTTTTTATTTATACATAATTTTAGCCTTAACTTAATTCTATTGATTTTGGTTAATGGTGGGAATAGTAAAAGAGAAATAGAAAAGGACAGATGAAAGGAGATAAGAAGGATGATAAAACATGATAACAGCAAGAGGAGGAAATAGATGCAAAGCAAGGAAAAGGATAATGATGATAAAACAAGATAGATAAAAGAAACGGGGAAAAAATAAGAGAATGATTATAAAAACTTCAAGAAAAGAATGAAAAAAGACCGACGCACACATTTGATTGTGCGTTCATACCCACACACACACATACACGCACATGCAAGTATGTGCACACTTTTTCTTTCTCTCTCCATCCCTCTACTTCCCTCCCACCCTCCCCCTCTTTCTCCATCCCTCCCACTCTCCCCCTCTCTCTCCCACCTCCCTCCTCCCTCTCTCCCTTCCACCCTCCCCTCTTTCTCCTCTCTCTCTCCCCCTCTCTCTCTCTCTCTCCCCTCCTCTTTCTTCCTAACCTCCCTCTCTTCTCCCTCCCTCCTCCTCCTCTCCCTTGCCACCCTACCCCTCTTTCTCCCTCCCTTCCTCCCACCGTCTGCCTCTTTTTCCTTCCCTCCCCCCTCTCCCTCTCCCTCTCCCTCTCTCCCTCCTCTCCCTAACCTCCCAGTCTCTCTCCCTTCCCACCCACCCTCTCTATTTCCCTCCCTTCCACCTTTCTCCTTTCCCTTCCCACCTTCCCCCCTCTCTCTCTCTTCCCACACCCCCCCTCTATTTCCCTCCTCTTCCTTCCCACCTTACCCCTCCCTCCCTCCCTTCTCTCCCTTCCCACCTTCCCCCTCCCTCTCTCCCTATCCACCCTCCCCCTCTTTCTCCCTTTCCTCCCTCCCTCCCTCCTCCCTCTCTCCCTTCCCACCCTCCCCCTCTTTCTCCCTTCCCATCCTCCCCCTCTTTTACCCTCCCTCTCTCCCTCTCTCCCTTCCCACCCTCCCCGTCTATCTCCCTTCCTCTCTGATTCCCTTTCCACCCTTTCTCCCTCTTCTTCCCACCCTCCTCCTTCCCTTCCTCCTTCCTCCCTTTCTTCTTCCCTCCTCTTCCTTCTCCTTCCTCCCTTTCTCCCTCTTCTTCCCTTCCCTTCCTTCTCCTTCCTCCGTCTCTATTTTCCCGCCAAGAAAGTAGCCTCGCCGCGGGTCCTCTCTCCTTGATCCTAAATGCTAACAATCCATTATCTCACATTTCTTTATGGTCTTGGAGGGTTATATAATGTCACAGTAATATATAATGTCAGTAGACTTTATTGGCTTGGCAGGCCTAGACTTAAGCTACCCTTAAGGTTGAAATAAAAAGGAAAAATTTCTTTCTTTTCGCGGGGGAAAAAAAAACAAAACAATTTGGACAAAGGATATTCCGCGCGAGTTGAGGTGTTATGTTGTTTCATATTTTTTTTTTTTTTTTTTGGAAAATGTGAGAATTTAGATACGAAGAAATTTAGATATTGAGGAAGAAAGAAGGACAGAGTGAAGAAAAGAAAGTAAGGGAAAGTATGGAAGAAATGCTGATCCAAAACGCTCTTAAAGAAAGAAATTAAGAAAGAATGGAAAAGAAATATTAAAAGACAACAACAAAGCTGAATTCTTCACTAAAGGCATGTTGTGAAGCTCAAAGGTTTATTAGAATATTGTCAGATGCTTGGAAGCCTTTGATAATCTATACCTGATCCGAAATTCAAATTTTGAACGAAAAAAATGTAGAGGACAGTTATATATATATATATATATATATATATATATATATATATATATATATATATATATACACACACACACACACACACACACACACACACACACACACACACACACACACACACACAACACACACACTCACACACACACGCACACACACACACACACACACGCACACACACACACACACACACACACACATACATTTATATGTATATATATATTATACACACACATACATATCCTCCCTCCTCCTGCTCCCCCTCCCCCTCCTTCTTCTCATGATCATCATCTTCATTTCATCTTCTTGTTGCTTGCTTTAGGTCGGAAGGTACAGGAGAGAGGTGTGAGAAGAGGAGAGAGGAAGAGGGAGAGGGAGATAGATCGATAAATGGATGAATGAATGGATGGATGGGTCTCAAAGGTGGATGGATGGATGGATGGGTAGGTGGGTGGATGAGGGATGAATGGATGGGTGGATGAAAGAATGGATGAATGGGTGAATGGATGGATAGGTGGATAGGTGGATGGAAGGATGGGTAGGGAGAGAAAGGGAGAAAGGAAGACGAATGGAGATAGAGATAGATAGATAGATAGAAGGGGAGAGAGAGAGAGAGAGAGAGAGAGAGAGAGA